AATGAAAATGAAAATGAAAATAAAATATACCCACCAAAAAAGGAATGGAATAATCCATTTCAGTTACCTGGAGGAGACTCTGAAGTGATTGACCTGAAATTGGTCTGTTACCTACAGTACCTACAAGTAATAGATATGCTTCTGCAATTTATTAAGAGCTATTAAACCTATCACAATATAGCAATGGAGAATCAGACATACAACTTAGAAAAATTGAATGTCCTCCCAAAGTTGATTATTTTTCTCACAAAGTACTAGCAATCACTATCTAGACCTATCTAGGAAACCCAGTAATTCCCATGGAATAATGTAAGATGAGGCCAGAGGAACTAATATGCTCAGAGACATGGTAGAAAGCTGGAGGGAGAGCATCACGTTTAAACTTAATCCTCAATTCTCATACTGCCCTTCTAATTATGTTGTCCATTACTGAATATTTTGTACAGTAGATCAATGATATCAGGTTTCCCAGACCTTCTTAGCATAGGTGCCCACACACTGACATTGTGCAGCGCAAATGTTAACTCTGTAACTCAAAGGAAGCATGAGAATAGAAGCAATCACACCATGTCAAAAGAGCTATTCCACAACCTTCCCAAAGTTTAGCTTCAAATGTGTGGGATTATAAGAACTACACACCAAGAAGACTGTCAGAAGACTTTGATTCTCTTTGTTAGGGTGATGATAAATCAGCTGATGAAGAACTTATGCATCAGGAGTCAACTGGCTTGGCAGAACATGTGCCAAAGTCAATAGAGTCACTTGATTGAGTTATTCTGCAGAAACACACATCTCATGAGTTCTCCAGATTTGCCACTCATATGGCAACCAGCCATAATCAAATGTCTGAATTGGATCTTGGGCCAGATTCTCATAGATGGAAAAATAACCAAATTGTCTTGGGGCTACCAAAATTGTCTTGGAGCTAACAAATCTGCTGTAATGTCAAGAGATGGACAGTGACATTTTCAGATCTAGCCCAGCATAAAGATGATACCCAACAGGGTAACTGAGCCTCCTAGGAAGATAGAAAATATTATTTGGAAGAATTGATCTGTATTTTGACAAATGCATACTCAGAGGTTTGAAAGATGGCTAAGAGAGACAAGTTTCAATCAATGCTTTCCTTGTTGAAGATAACCAGATAGGGATATAGAGTTCCATTATGTCTGCTGCTTCTAATAAAATCACCATAGACATAGCATTAAATATACAAAAATCATGAGATGCTTGTCTAGCAAATAGATTAAAGTGGCTCAAAAGATAGCAAATGGCTTGATCCAGTAAGGCTCTTATGTTCTTAGATGTTTCCTCAAGAAAAGGAGGGAGAGAATAGAAGCCCGCGCGCACACACACACACACACACACAGAGAAATAGTGGAATATTTGCTGCCTCTCTATTGTTTGATAAACACATGATAATTTCCTAAGGTTCCTAAAGAAAATGTATGAGACTAATATTATACCAGGTGCCATTGATTTTAGAGAAAGTTCTTGTAACCCTTAATAATTTACAGCTGAGTCTGTCTTTCCTTCCAGAATATGATTACAGAACAAATAGCAGTATTTTCCATTTCTAAAATTCTGATATTGCAACATCAAGAGATCTGGCAGGTAGCCATCCTAATCCAGAGAGGCAGAGGAAATAAGATCCAAGCATTACAATGATAGAACGTTATGAAAGTAAATTCCTGATACCAATATATTATCCCACTTTCCTACAGATGGTTTGGCAGCATCGTTCAGTAAACTGGCATTATTGGAGCATTATATCTAATTATATTATGTTTGTAAAGTTAGACTTGTATACTAATATCAAAGGATTTTAAGTGGAAAGATTGAATGAAAGAAGTAACTTTAACTGAATGACATTTGAGAGTGGGGATGGGTGGGAAATATGATTCTTAGGGATCTTATGAAGTGATAAAAAGGTAAAGGTTCCACTCGCACATATGTGCTAGTCGTTCCCGACTCTAGGAGGCAGTGCTCATCTCCGTTTCAAAGCTAAAGAGCCAGCACTGTCCAAAGAAGTCTCCATGATCATATGGCTGGCATGACTAAACACCGAAGGTGCACAGAACGCTGTTACCTTCCCACCAAAGGTGGTTCCTATTTTTTCTATTTGCATTTTTACATGCTTTCAAACTGCTAGATTGGCAGAAGCTGGGACAAGTAACCGGAGCTCACTCCATTACGTGGCACTAGGGGTTCGAACTGCCGAACTCCGACCTTTCTGATCGACAAGCAGATATTTGTCTAATAAGGGTAAGCAATTAAGAATCAACATTTATATTTGTACCATTTATTTATCAGGATGTCCATGGATGGTGATTTCTAGCATATACTACAGAATCTGGAAGGAGCAAAACACCCATTTTACCCTCTTAGCCAATTAAGACCTTGAGATCAGGAATAAGATCATTTTCAAACCAGCCAACGGGGAAAGTGACTTTGATGATAGTCCCTTAGGTGTGCACATTTTAAAGGCAGACAATCTAAGGAATGAATGCACTTCAACTGGGAAGAGTTGTTGGTTCATCATCCCCACTTCACAGGGTATTTATGAGATGTGGTTGAAGAGAGAACAACCCTCTGAGGTGCTTCCTGGAAGATGATTCATCGTCTTACTCATATGGAGCCTCTAACCATTTTTTAAAAAATTTATAGAAAGTTGAAGTATCAAAATGAATTTCTGCATCATCCTTCTCATTTCCTGATCTAAGAAGATGGTGAGCTCATACATTTCTCAACTGCAAACAATGGAACTAGAAGAAAGCACTCTAATGGGCAGGGGAGGGGGGAAATGTGAAGTCATGCCTATGCAATGCTGTGTTGTTGACTATGTTTGGAGAGCTACAATACTTAAGACGCAATTGCACCACCTTTCTGGCAAGAAACCCTTCTCTCTCTCTCTCTCTCTCTCTCTCTCTCTCTCTCTCTCTCTCTCTCTCTCTCTCTCTCTCTCTCTCTCTCTCTCTCCCTCCCTCCATGGAGAAAAAGAGCAGTAGTATCCTAGAACAATATGTGTTTGTTTTTTGCCCCACAATTTCCTCTTTTCCTGACATCCCTCTCCCCTGGGCATGAGTCTTGCATCTTTTGCAGCAAGTCAC